GTGCTTAAGTGTTGAAAAATTTGGGGTAGATCTGTGTTTAATCTCTTTAAAATTGCTATGAAAAACTGATGCTCATCATGTGTTTGGGAAAATGCCCAAAAGAACTTCAACTGGGCGAGGCAGGAGACCTTATGTGATCGCGTTGACTGTTCCGCGATCGCATAGGTCTAATTTGCGCACTGTGGAAAATTGCCTTATGCGATCGCATTGGATGCTCCGCGATCGCATAGCTGTAAATTCTGTGAACAAAATATTGCACTATGCGATCGCAAGTCTTTCTCTGCGATCGCATAGCTTCAGCTTCAGCAGTCAAAACAGTAGCTTTATAGAATTTTACCCTGATGCTTTTTGTTCTTTTTCTTTGACCTAAATGCATAATAATACAGTGTATAAAGTACTTGTTCATGCGTTTAACATTTGGTCTCCATTTGTAGGTACTTTGTGCATAAAATATCCTCGGAAAATGTTGAAAATGTGCAAGAATATGTTCCCCCAGTTATGGAAGAAGAGTATTTTGATGCGACGAGATTCATGGCTGCTGCATGTGAAAGGAATTATGACGAGCTCATGTCAAAGAGAATTGTCAAATAACGGGGCATCCGTTTGGACAACGTTGAGGCCAAGATGCCGGAATTTTTCCAAAGAGTGACCGACAGTGGATGGATGTGCTTTTCTCCTGAACCAATCAAAGCGAACTACACAATAGTTCGGGAGTTTTATGCAAACGCCTTGCATACTAATTTCCAAGGGGATGTATTCACTTTTGTCAGAGGCAAGCGGGTTAACTTTGGCCCCGAGGTGATAAATGCACACTATGGGCTTCCCAATGCTGATAATGAAATATACAGAGCTATAGGAAGAGAGAGAGGAACACAGTGGTTGGTGGAAAAGCTTCACAACGGGGTGCAACCGACTTGGGAAAGAATTCATAAAGGGGTTGATTCGCATGAATTCACTGGGGAAGCTAAGATTTGGCTATCCATTATCTGTGCCAGGGTTGTGCCATCTAGAAATGAGACTGAAGTGATGCCTGAGAAGGCATTGATGATTGCTGCCATTATGGATGGCTTGCCAGTATATGTGGGCCAGCACATCGTGAGTGAAATTGAGGAAGCTTGCAATGGAAGGTCTAGAAGCCTATTCTTTCCCTCATTGATCACTCAGCTGCGCTATGATGCTGAGGTGCTACCGAGCCCGACTGATGTTGAGAAGGACCCTGCCGTAGCAATTTATCCATTGCTTCGAAGAGGGGCAACTGGCAAGAATAAGAAAAGAAGGATTGATGTGCTATCTCCATTATTTGGGTAGTTTGATGAGTCCGCCGAGGGATCCGGTGGTGCCCCCACAGCTACAGCAGGATCGCATGACCCCATGACTCCACTTCCTTATGGACCCCCCACTATGCGCCACATTTCCCAGCATATCTATGGTGTTGATGCTCACATTCGACAGCTTGTCGCAGGTCTTCCCTCTGGTCCATCTGGTGAGGGCACTTCGACTAGGTCTGGCAAGAAGCCAACGACCTTGGATGATGTAGTGCTAGAGCAAAAGGGAATCAAAAGCAGATTAGAAGACTTGAGCCGGAGACAAGGAAATATTGAAAGGCGACAGATGAAGTTCAAGGAGCACGAGAAGAAGAAAAGCAGGTTCCTGTCGAGGATGATGCACAAGCTAAGTTCATTATGTGGCTCACAAGATTCTGAGGATGATGATGCATACTTGGAGCTCAAATTTCCCACCACCTCCAGTTCCGACTGATGCAGTATTCAGGGAGCACTTTTCACCATTTTACTCTATCATGTTTAGTTGCATTGGGGACATTGCAACATCTTTAGTTGGGGGTGGCTTCTTGTATATCTGTTGTTCTTGCATAACTGTGGTTCTAGTATAATTGTGGATATACGGCAGATTGGTATTGTAGTTGTTTTCATTTTGTTGTTAGTGTATTTTCATGTGATGCATTATATTAGTATGTTTATTAGCTTTTAATTTTTTTTTATTAGCTTCTTAATTTTTTTATATAGTATGTTTTATGTTAGTGGCGATATCCTTGGTTTTCTTTATACCACGGTTCTTTTTCCAAGGATGCCAATTTTCTTCTTGAACCGGGTAATTGTAGAAAATTTTTGTCGACTTTTCCCGATGATGGATAGATAGACAACTTTCTTAAGGGAATTAGTCTTGTTTAATTTTTCCTAAATTTTTTTTTAGAAAGGGTATTATTATTTTAGTTTAGTAGCTAGTTGTGAATAAAGTGGTTATTGGGTGTAGTCTTTTGTCCATAAACCAATATGTGGCTTGTTTGGTACCAATACAATTTAAACTTTAGCATATGAAGTTTTGATCTTTAAAATGAAAAAAAAATAAAAAATGATTGAAGTGATAATTCATTGTTGTGACTTTTAGATTTTAATTTTGGCTCTTTGATTCACTAAATAACTTCTTAGGCTACATGTGACTTCCTTGAGATTCATGGTCTCAATTGGATTTTGGATTTGTATTCCATTTGAGTTTTCATGTGCATGTGTGGTGAGATTTATTGTGAGTTCTTTTGCATTACTTGTAGTGTATAACTTGCCCGGAATGTGCTTCAAGGCAAAATCATAGACTAACTTGGTTTGAAAAATGATATTAGGCCTTCCTTCTACCATTATTGTGCCTAAATTTCCTACCCGTGAATATTTACCCTAGTCAACCCTTTTGAGCCTTTTTACTTTTTCTTTGACAACCATGTTACAAGCTATCATCTTATTGATGTTCTTGGGGAACCATACCTCCCTAAGTAACTTAAAGTATGAATATCGGCTAAAAGCCTAAGTTTGGGAGTGGAGGTTGGAAAAGTTGTAATATGGAGGCTTCTCAAAAAGTGAAAAGTGTCATATAAAAAAAAAGAAAAGAGAAAGTATGAATAAATGGAAGACTAGGTAATATAAAAAAGAGAAAGAGAAGAAAGGGTGGAAAAATTCTTGAAGGAAGTGAACTTTGATTGTTGAAAAAAGTTTAGTGCTTAGGGAGGTTTTGAGTTACTCTTACCCAAAATTGTGCCCTACCTTAACCAAAAGCTTAAACTACAGCCCTTCAAGTCCTAATTGATTTTGAACCAAGTTATCTACAATAGTGGAGAAATACATGAAGGTCAAGCATGTGCATTAGAACATCTTTGAGAGAGTGAGAGTGAATTCTTTCCATTTGACATCTCATTTATGAGTTGAATTGCAATTTATGAGTTTGGGATTCTCTCTTAAAGTGTGAGGGCACATGAAATTCAAGTTGTGAATTTAATCCCATTTTCAATTGGGAGGAATGAGCGAGGGAAAACAAATGTGATAGAGAGGCAAATTTTGAATCTTTAGTGTCATGACTTGGTTGCCACTTAGATTAATGTAGTGTTTGAGCACTTGAATTGAAATAGAATTTGTGAGAAGTTGGTGATTCATATGCTTTGGATTAATTGTTGGTACCAACTAAAGTCATTAGATTGTGTTTAATTTGCATTTTGTTTGACTTGAAATGATGCTTGGCATGCCATTGAGCTTAATTGATGATTTTAGTGAAGGATGTTCTTAGTCTTTGAATTGCTTGAGGACAAGCAATAGTTTAATTTTGGGGGTTTGATAAGTTGGTATTTTAACAACTTATTTCTTCTCAATACTTAGGCTTTTGTATGATGTTGATGAGAAGTTAAGGCATTTTCTGAGGTTTATTGGCATATTTCAGGTATCATATGATTTGGAGAAGGTATAGAAGAAAACAAGTCAAAAAGTGCTGAAAATGGAAAAATGGACAGCTGCCAGTGATTATACTATGCGATCGCAAGAATTTGTGCGCGATCGCACAAGTCAGTAATAGCAAAGCTATGCGAACGCGGTTGAACAGGTGCGAACGCAAAGAAGAAAGTCCAGTCAATAGCTGGTCAACATGCCTATGCGAACGCAAGGCAGACTATGCGATCACATACCTCAGGAAAGTCATTCTCTGCGATCGCATATATCCAGTTGCGAACGCATAGTGTATTTTCTGGGCAGTTCTGGGCAAAAATAGAATTTCACGTTTTTAATCCCCAAACCATTTTTATACACGACCAAGCAGATATTTTGGAGATCTTTGGCTTATTTCTCAGTTCCATAGACGAGAGAAGAACAAGTATTGAAGCTAGGGTTTTGCAAACACACTTGGGTCTTGAAGATTTCAAGCTTGTGGTTAAGGATTTCTTACCCATTTATGTTTATTTCTTCATTTCCTTGCTTTGTATTGAATATTTAAGTGTGTAGTATTTATTTCCAACACTTGAATCTTGTTTATGAGAATATTCATATTTAAAGTATGGATTAAATACCTTGTTGTGCTTATGTATTGAATGATTTTTACCCTTTTATGAAGTGAGTTATTGTTATTTTAATTATTCTTGTTCTTTAATGTTTTCAAAGGGATTAGCTAACCCTAGGACTCGCCCATTAACTCCGAATTACTTTCCGAAAAGATAATTTGGGGTTGGGAAAGATTAATTAACAAGAACTTGAGGCGTTAACCCTTATTTTATAGATTCTACCTAGGGATAGGATTGAACTACTTGTAGCCATTCCGGGTGTGCTTAATCTCTTAATTGTTTTAGGGATAATTCAATTAGGAAGTCTTGTCAGTCTTCGAAAGACGCTACTTAAGAATTATTATCCATGGCTAATCAACATAAACTCGCTCATATTTGTAAAATCATAAAATACATTGGATCGTTACTTGAGTGTAATTCCCGATGCATTCATACTTGTAGCCATTGATCATTTTACTTGATTTCTAGGTTAGCTTACATTTTCGCACTTAGATATAAAACATTTTCAAAACAAATTCTTATTGTTTGACATTGCGCGATAAGTGATAATTCTCTTACATTCCTAATCGCCTACATATTGTTCTCTGTGGGATTCGACCCCGACTCATAGTTGGGTAAATTATATTGCATGAGACCATGTCCATTTACTTTTTAGTAGTGGATTTGGACGTCATCAGGGTGCATAGTTGTAAGACCCCATTCCTTGCAAAGAATTCACACATTCCATGAAATCAACCATCTTATCATCATCAAAGTTGAGCAAAATGGCTTCCAACACGTCACCAATATTCATTGTGGCACTAGTATCATCAACAATAACATCGCTCACCAAATCCACAAAAAAACACCTCATTTCTATTAGGTTGACGCATAGACTTGCACACATAAAATACTTGTTCATCACCAACTCAGAACGTGAGCTCTTCGGCTTCAACATCAGAAAGGGCCTTAGCTGTACCAAGTAAAGGCCTTCCAATAATGATAGGCACTTTAAAATCAACCTCACAATCAAGAATAACAAAGTTCGCCGGAAGAATAAATTTATCAACTCGGACAAATACGTCCTCAATCACACCCATCGGTCTTTTCATTGTGCGATCGGCCATTTGTAACCTCATAGATGTTGGTCTTGGTTTCCCAATCCCCAAAGTTTTGAACACCAAATAGGTCATCAAATTGATACTCGCCCCAAGATCACATAAAGCTTTAGCAAAATCGGCACTTTTGATAGTACAAGGAATTGTGAAAGCGCCAAGATCCTCCAATATAGGAGCCATGGAATGAAGAATAGCACTAACTTGATGAGTAAACTTGATTGTTTCAAAATTCATCTATCTCTTCTTGGTCACAAGATCTTTCATATACTTAGCAACAACAACAACTCAGTATGGTCCCACAAGTGGGGTCTGGGGAGGGTAGGATGTACGCAGCCTTACCCCTACCCTGGATGGGCAAAGATACTGTTTCTGATAGACCCTCGGCTAAAGAAGGTGAGAGAAGCCCTGGTAGCAAGTAATAGCAAAACAATAATTAGAAAACTAAATCGGAGATAGAAACAGATAATATGAAAGGGGTACTGCTAACAAGTAGTAGCAAGATAACATATTTAGAAAACTAATTCCAAGGCAGCAGACGAGAATATAAACGAAGTACTGCTAGCAAACTACGAAATTACAATGGCAAGTAACAACGAAACGAGACATGCAAATATAGCAAACTAAGGAACAAAGGGTACCGTATTAGCGCTAATACTATCGAGCTAGAGAAGACAAAGGGAGATACACGACTACCTACTAACCTTCTACCATAATCTTCAACCTCCACACCCTTCTATCTAGAGTCATGTCCTCGGTTAGCTCAAGTAGCGCCATATCCCGCTTGATCACCTCTCTCCAAGACTTCTTTGGCCTACCTCTACCCCTCATCTCACCTTCTAAGGCCAACCTCTCACATCTCCTGACAGGGGCATCTGCCTTCTCCTCTTAACATGCCCGAACCATCTCAACCTTGCCTCACGCATCTTTGCCTCCACAGGGGCCACTCCCACCTTGTCTGGAATAACTTCATTCCTAATTCTATCCAACCTAGTATGCCCACACATCCATATCAACATCCTTATTTCCTCTACCTTCATCTGCTGGACATGAGAGTTTTTGACTGGCCAATACTCTGCCCCATACAACATAGTCTATCTAACCACAACCTTGTAGAACTTACCCTTAAGTCTCAACGGCACATTCTTATCACACAAGACACCAGAAGCGAGACTCCACTTCATCCACCCTGCTCCGATACGGTGTGTGACATCCTCATCTATCTCCCCATCCTTCTGAATTCTAGATCCCAGATACTTGAAACTCCCTCTCTTGGAAATGACTTGCGTATGAGTTTCACATCCCCGTCCGCCTCCTGGGTAACACCACTGAACTTGCACTCCAAGTATTCTGTCTTGGTCCTGATCAACTTGAAACCCTTAGACTCCAGGGTATGTCTCCAAACTTCCAGCCTCTCGTTTACGCCACGTCGCGTCTCATCAATCAGGACTATGTCATCCGCAAATAACAAGCACCAAGGCACCTCCCCTTGAATGTGAGTGTCAAAGAATCCATCGCCAGGGAAAACAAAAACAGGCTAAGTGCTGATCCCTGATGCAACCCCATCTCAACCGGAAAGTAATCCGAGTCTCCACCTGCTGTCCTAACCCGTGTCTTAGCTCCCTCATATATGTCCTGAATCACTCTAATATACGCTACAAGCACTCCTCTAGCCTCCAAATATCTCCATAGAACCTCTCTGGGGACTTTGTCATAGGCCTTCTCTAGGTCAATGAACACCATGTGCAAATCCTTCTTCACCGCCCTAAACTGCTCCACCAATCTCCTCACAATATGAATGGCCTCAGTGGTTGGCCGTCCCGGCATGAAACCAAACTGGTTCTCGGAAATGGACACACACCTCCTCAACCTCCCTTCAATCACCCCCTCCCACACTTTCATCGTATGGCTTAACAACTTGATACCCCTATAGTTGTTGCAGTTTTGGACATCCCCCCTATTCTTTCATATACTTAGCATTACCAGGTATTTGCTCCAAAGCTTCTACCAATGGCACATTAATAGAGAGACTTTTCATCATTTGAATAAAGTTATTAAATTGATTGTCATCATTTCGCTTAGCGAGCCTTTGAGGATAAGGAGGTGGAGGCTTTGGCAAGGGTATCTTAGCCTTTTGCACTACCGGATCCGGCATGTCAATCATATGTTCCCTAGACGGGTTTACCTCCTCTCGGATCTCTTCCACATCATCAATATCAATCTAAACTTCATCATGTACTGGAAAATCATTTTGTGGGACTTCCTCCTCTTGGAACATTTGGTCTTCATCTCCAATTTGCTTTTCATCTGAGGTGGTGCATTCCCGCCTCTTCTACTTCTTGTGATAACCGCCATAACATGTCTCATATTATTACCACCCTTTGGGTTCACTACCATATCACTTGGTAATGCACCCTTAGGACGAGTATTAAAAGCTTGAGAGATTTGCCCCATTTGAACTTCAAGATTCCGAATCGATGTGGTATGTGGCAAGTTGCACATCCGAATCCGCATTCTTTTCCATTATTTGCTTGAACATGTTCTCAATATGACCCATTTCATTGCTTGGCGAACTTGAACCGTGGGAAGGATAGGGAGGTGTGTTGCTTGGTTGTTGGTACATTGGAGGTCTTTGGAACCCTGAACTTCGATTTACATGATTATTATTGTTCCCCCGATTTCCTTGACTATTACCTCCCCAATTCCCTTGGTGGTTTTTGTTATGACAATTTCCTTGATTGCTAGAACCCCACTTGCCTTGGTTATTTTGAGATTGCCATTGATTTTGACTAGAACCTTGGAAATTGCTCCGTTGCCCTTTATGATTGTTCATAAATTGAACCTCCTCTTCTTGCTCTTGATAAAAGTCATATTGATCATAACCACCATTATATTATGCATAAGTCTCTACTCGGGGTTGAAATTAGGAACCTATGGTCCGCTTCTTGTTGGACAAAACATTCACCTTCTCTATGACATGAACTTTCTTAGGAGTTTGAGTTTGATAGAGTAAGACTTAGCAAGTTGAGTCATGGTGGTGGTCAATTCCGCAATAGCTTGTCCATGGTCTTGCAATACTTTATGAAGGTGAATCATGTTGGGATCACCTTGAGGAACATTGACTTGGGATTTCCAAGACGAAGAGGTCTCCGCCATCTCATCAAGAATATCACATGCCTCTGCATAAGGTGTTTTCATGAAATTGCCTCCGGCCAATTGATTGACCACACATTGATTCGTGGTATTAATACCACGGTAGAAATTTTGTTGGATCATATTGTCGGTCATATCATTGTTGGGACACTCTTTTATCATAGTACGATATCGCTCCCAAATCTCATGCAAAGGTTCATTGGGTTCTTATATGAAGGCCAATATTTCATCTTGTAGAGTATACACATGCCGGAAGTGTAAAAATGAACCACCGCCAACTCATCCCATGTATGAATAAAATGATTAGGTAAGTGTTCCAACCAGTCCAAAGCCTTCCCCCTTAGTGATAAGGGAAAAAACCTTAGATGCAATGTATCTTCCAAAATATTTATTTGTTTGCTTCCCCAACACGCATCCAGAAAACCTTTCAAATGCTTGCAAGCATTTTGATTCAGTGACCAGTGAGAAAACCTCGTTGCTCGAGCAAAGTGAGCATCATATTGGTAATTTGAAAGTTGCCCGCCCAAATGCGAGGGGAAACTATTGCACTTGCATACCCTTCATTGGGCAAATTCCGGTATTGTGCCGCTTGGGGTTATAGTGGTGGTGGAGGTGAGGGAGGTGGAGGCACATTGTATTATTGTCCATGACCTCGGTGATTTGGTTGTGGGAATTATGGCATTTCATCAAGTTGTTCTTCTTCTCCATCCACCTCTCCCAATGGTACATTTCCAAGCTTATTGTTCGCCATTATAAATCTTTAATCACTTCAACTAGTTAGAATCACGAAAGTAAAACAAGATACTCAAGAAACAAACTCAAGTATATAGCTAATACCGTAAACTCCCCGGCAACGGCGTCAAAAATTGATCACGTTCAAGTCACACCCCAAATAAGGAATATGAAAATGGCCGTTGCCATAATAATTACCCAACACGAGTCGGGGTTGAACCTCAAGGAGTTTAATATGGGTGTTATGGTAAACACTTAAGTGAGAAACTTGAAATAATTCAATTTATCTTTCAAACAAACGTGGGTATCAATTTCACTAGTTAAATTAATATGATTTGTGAACTAAGCTAGCAAACAAGTAATAAGCAAAATATTTTTGAAATTTTATCAAATAGAGAAAATCCTAGGGTTTTAATCTTAACCTAGGTGTAAATCTAATGGGTAAAGTCAACTTATGCGTGTTTCATAGATCGGGGTTGTTATGACTCTCAATACTCAAGTACTCACTCAATACCTCTCGGTTAAGGAGTGATTATACCCAATATAGATTTCTAAAGTCCAAATGGTAGCTATAAGTGCAATTGAATATGAGCCAAAGTTAGATTATCCTTATCTCTAGTTCAAATCCGTTAATTAAACTAATCAATAACTCAAATAGTTCAATTTCTTGTTAGCTAAGTTTTCCTAGACTAAGTTCTTCTTTCTCAAGTAAGAACAAGGTTATTTGCAACCATCAATTCCGACTTAGCATAAACAAGGCTAAATAATACTAACCCAATCAATAGCAAGCATAATATTTATAACCCATAAGATTTAAACACTTGGGTTGGATCACAATCCTAGATAAAAGTCGAGCTACTCATACTAAGAGACATAAAAAGATGGAAATAAGAAGAAATCAAAGATATAAAACCAAAAGTAAATGAAAGAGTAGGTGATCTTCTCCAATTATAGCTCAAACTTGCTCCAAAATAGCTAAAAATAACAAACTCCTAGCCGCTACAATGAAAAGATACCCTAAAAAAGTCATAAAGTTCTATTTATACGGCTCCCAAAATCTCTGACAAAAATGCCCTTCGGAGGGTTCGCGACCGCATATTGGCTTTGCGGTCTGCGCTTTGCTAGATTGACATTGCTTGTGCTTTCACTACGGGAAGTCCTGTGGTCGCACTTCAGCTTTTGCGGTCGTACATCAGCTTTTGCGGCTGCACTTTAAGTTTTGGGAACCGCATTTGAGGAGGCTTCATACTTGTCTAACTGCTTATTTTCTGATCTTTCAAGCTTGTCAGTGCGAACCTATTTTGCGGACCAAGTGCGATCGCATATTTTATTCTGCGGAATGCACTTCTGCC